TGAGAAATCTCTTTTAAGACAGAATTATATTGGATCTATCTTTAAAAAGTAAATTCTGAATATCTGCATTCACTCACAAATCACAAGTATCAATTAAGTCAAGAGATTTTAATTTGTAAATCTTTTGATTCTGGATAAAAGTCACGACAATATATGAGGTTCTCATTATTGTAAGGTTATAAAAGAGTTTTCTACCAAAAAAAGAGAAGACTCATAGATATTTAAATGAAATAAACTTGTGATTAGGGCAGCAGACTATAAATGAGCACCTTTATTTCATGTATGGTGCAGTGATTTATGCATGAAGGGTTGGAACTAAATATGGCATTGAGTTAGATTTGGGGTGTGTTTTGTATTAATCAGGGTAAAGTTTTGGATTGCCTTATTTGAACTCCATGCATTTGTCAAGTATTAATCCAACCTAACTCACCCTAGGTTACTACTATGATCAGCCAATTGCTACAAATTTTAGAGTTGAATAATGTCTATATAGCAAATGCAAATGAAGATGAAATCCAATCAATTTCTTGTTATGAAATTTATTTTTTAAAATTATGTTTGAATCATAAATCTAAGTAAAATTTTAAAAAGAAAAAGAAAATTTAAAAAAAAAAAACTTATATTTCTTTTACATTATTTTCATATTTTTCTATCAGCTTTTCTCAATTTTTATCATAATTTGTAATTCAAACACAATGCCAAACTACCTTATTTTGCTTTGTCAGAAAATAATAAATAAATAAAATGTTTCACCTCTCCACCAGTTTCGGAAATGCCCAACTCCTTGGGCAACTAATGTTGATGGAGAGAACAATGAGGGTTCAAAATTTGTAAGTGGCCTTACAGCTGTCTTTTGAGGTTTCTAAAATTTTGATGAAATTAGTCGTATTGCATACTTTTTTTTTTTTGGACGAAAAATGCTAATTAACATTTGTTAACATTTGCCTATAATTTATGCCATAAAAAACGTGCATAAGCTTATACATTGTTTGCACTTGTATCGCCACAATTAAGATGTTTAATTTAGATTTTAGAATTTTTTTTATTTTTTTAAAGTTGAAAATTAATTTGGTGAAAGAAATAAAAATATTTATTATTTTCATATAATTTATATTTTAAAAATCTATAATAATTTAAAATTTTAAAATATTTTTTAATATTTAATTTTATTAAACTAGTAATTTCTATATTAAAAAAAAAATCCTGTTTTTTTGTTGCCTTAGGACTTTCCTTGTTATTGATGGCTAGGAGTGTAAGCAGGCCGGGGTGGGCTCAGCCTGTTTAGGTTCGTTTGGGTTCGGACCTGAGCCGAACTGGAGCCTTTAGGTTTGGGCTTGGGCTATTATTTTGAAGTTCAGTCCGATTCATGGGCCTGTTTGTCCTGGCCCGCTCAAGATCCAGTGTATTTTTTAATAAAAAATAATAAAATTTTGGTAGAAAAATTTTTAAAAACAAAAAAAATGGTCAGACCTGCCTAAGGTCGAGGCCAGGCCTAGGCCCACCGATCCGACCCGAATACCCCAAGTATCGGGCTTGGGCCTGGGCCTATTTTTTTTTGGCCCAACCTGGCCCGAATTTTTAGTAAGAGTCCGCGAGGCTCGACATGGGTCATCCCGGGCTAGATTTACACCCATATTGATGGCAAATAACTCCAACAAGTAAATCACTGCAACTGAGGTGCCTACTCGAGGAAAAGTTATTGGTTGATTTTGAAACAACATCATGTGATATTATAATTGATAAAAAATGTGGGATTTATAAATTTGAATAATGTTATATGTATTAATTAATATATTAATTAGTGTACTAATTGATGATAAGATATAATTTAAGAGATTTTTTATATTTATAATTTGTATAATGAGTATGGTCGGTAATAATGTTATAACTAGTGTTGATACACTAATTAGTATACTAATTGGTGTATGTAATACTACCACATAAATTTATATTGAATGATTAAAAAACATGACAAAATATGATAAATTGTGATTGGGGTAAAGTATGACAATTGACATCTGAAGGGCTAAATAAGAAATGGGTCGGACCCAAGCCTTAGGCCGGTCCAATCCCCCAAGCCCAAATCCAAATGGATCAGATGAGCATGTGGACAACCCAACTAAGCCCAGTTCCATTACTAACAGTCCACCTAAGTCCTCAAGCACTTGGGCCCAACTCACAGTGGAAAGGCTAGTCCAGTTGCAATACTGGACTAAGGTCAAGCTGCAAGACCTATTCTATTGGCCAAACTGATGGGTTGAACCCATCATCAGAATCAAAGTAGGCTGAATCCGTACACAAATATCTGAATGGGCTAGCCCATCCCAACAATAGCCACGCAAAGGGCCGAGCTAAGGTACAACGGTGCTAAGCTGAGGAAACCTCTCAAAGAAACGTGGAAGCTATGAGTATATGCATGTGCAAGTTGCCACCTCAGCTGGTCCCCTATATTTAGAAACACGGAAACAGTTAAACCGAAGGAATGTGGTTTGTTATTAGCATGACTACAATGAGTATAAGCACCTCTTGACAACTACCAGATGGTCCCCCACCTGGGGCCATGCTAAAAGGAAATTTGGCAGCACCAGAGCTCTATGAAACCAACTTGAAAAACAAGCAAGGAATTCTATATAAACTACATTAACTTCACATTGAAGGTAACTGATCGAAGCTGAACCCCACTTACTTACAAACTCAACTCTCTACACTTCTTCTCCGATCACTGATTCCTACACTAAAAGGGTTATCCGGCCAACCCCGGCCAAGTAGCTCTTACGGTGCTTCTTGCTGCAGGGACCTCATTCCCTAGATAGTCTAACCAAGTGCGGAGTTTCGGTCCACTTTCATTTAGTGCGGTATTTGATACGCACAACATCCAAGACTTATTAATAATTTTTGAGTTATGTTAAAAATATCAAAAAAATTATCAAATATTTGACCAAATATAATACACTAGTGTTGTTTTACAAGATTTTATATGAGTAAGAAATTCTCATTTGTATAAGACATAATCAAATACTCAGTTGAATTTTTAGGGCTTCCGCATTTTTGATAATTTTTCCTACTCCTGATCCAACACGTTCCACGTGTCACGATTCTATCAATCACGCGGCTAAAGCGTACGCAACGGTCTTTCTCAGCCGGCCTTTTTACTTTACCTTTTGGCGCGTTCTCTCTCTCCTCAACGTCTCTCTTCTTTTTCTTGTGCATTTCTCTTCAATTTCAGATCCGTTATCAACGGTTCTATTTCTCTCTCTCACCAAATTTTAAATTCAAAACAATTTTTTTCCTTCTAAAATAACTATAATAAATTACAAATTAAATGGTATAGCCATTTTAAACCGAATAATATTATATGTATTAATTAATATACTAATTAATATATCAATTGATAATATTATATAATTTAAGATATTTTTACATTTATAATTTGTATAATGAGTAATCTTAATAATAATGTCATAATTACTATTAGTACACTAATTGGTACATGTAACACTATCGTTTTAAATAATTGGTGTACTTTATGAAAAGTGTCATAATTACTATTAGTACACTAATTGGTACATGTAACACTACCGTTTTAAATAATTGATGTACTTTATGAAAAGTTTTTAATAAATCTAATAATATAAAAATTAATCACAAAATCAAAAGTCTCACCCATGTGATAGAATCGTGTGTTAATTATTGTGCATACAAAAAAAGAGAGAATTTTTTTTAAGGTCTCCGATATTAAAATTTTATAAGATAAAATATATATAATATGTTTATAATAGTTGGGATTCCTCAATATTTTCGTAGAGAAAAATCGATTTAGAAAAATTTCGGCCCGACTAAAAGCAATTTCAACCTTGACATAGAGGAATTTTGATTTTCATAGATAATTTTCTCTAATTTCACAAAGAAATTTCAAAATTTATCTGGTATGATCATAAAGAAATTTTATCGAGGGACCTTAGCTAATAAAAAAAATCTTAAATTTCTCCTATTACACAAAATTAGAAAGAAAACTAATTTTCTCTATAAAAAATAAAATAAAATAAGCAACAATTATTTTACTTGCTCATAATCAAACATAACTAGCTCATATGATAGGTCCATAAAAAAAATAGAACCCAATTTATGTAAGAAGGGTCTTTTGGGAAGTGGGTTATAATCCATTTTTCAGATTATAACCCACTTTCCTCTCTCACAAAAAGTTATTTATAATTAATTTTTAATCAAAAAGTTGATTATAACTATCTTTCTAAAATAACCTTTTGTTTGGTATAATTTATTGAAAGTTAAAATTTAATAATTAAAAAATAAAAATCACAAGCACTTATTTCCTAACTTTTAAATTAACTACAAAAATACTGTATTAAATAACCCCATGTCCTCGAGAAATTATCCAATGTTTCAAGAACATTGCTTTATTCCATTTACAAATTAACCCTTAATACTTTGATTCTTAAAAATTTAAAACAAAAGTGATGATCCCATAATTTAGACTAACATCTTAAGCACATCTTAGACTTATACCAAAATATTGTGGGGTTGTTTGGAGAGTGACTTTTTTACTAACCAAAAAATCAAATCAAGTTATATCACTCCCTCTATTTGTTTACATATTTTTATAAAAAATTTAAAAAATAATTAAAATTATTATTTAACACGTCCTTTTATAAAAAATTAAAATAATCCATTCTCAAACCAACTGAATAATTTCTCATGTCCTGTTCTCTAATCATGGGTTCCTAATTTTTTATAACAAAAAAAAAAATTACGGGAAAAAAAAGTACACACCACAGTGGAAAAACAGCAGGCCAACGGCCCACACCCAAATCGAATCACCCAAAAAACAACAACAACAACAATAACAATTATAACAACGCGTAGTTGAAAACCAACTAATAATTATATCTGCCTGTCATCTAATCCGATACGCGTCAATTTCACAGATCCAATCCAACCCAACTGCTCTCTACAACACTCCCTTAAAACCACTCTCAATCCCATCATCCAGATGCCATCTCTTTTCTCCTCTGTCTCTCTCTCTCTCTCTCTCTCTCTCTCTCTATAAATTTCCTTATTTAGCACCACCACAATCTCCAATTTTTCCTCAACACCCACCACCACAAGTAACACAAATGCCATCCATTCTGTTAAGAATTTTCCATCTTTACAACCTCCTAAATACAGTCCTCCTCTATTTTGTCCCCAAAAAACTCAGATCATACCTTCCCACTTCTTGGTACCCCCCACCACCCAAAACCACCACCACCAACCCACCACCGCCGCAGCATTCTCCGTCGGATATCATCATCCTTCGGAGAATGGACGCCGACGAGCTCCGCCGCGTCTTCCAAATGTTCGACAAAAACGGCGACGGCCGAATCACTAAAAAGGAGCTCAACGAGTCGTTAGAGAACATGGGGATCTTCATCCCCGACTCGGAGCTCACTCACATGATCGAGAAAATCGACGTCAACGGAGATGGGTGTGTCGACATTGACGAGTTCGGAGCTCTGTACCAGTCGATAATGGACGAGAAAGACGAAGAAGAAGACATGAGAGAGGCGTTCAAGGTGTTTGATCAGAACGGTGATGGGTTCATCACGGTGGAGGAGTTGAGGTCGGTGTTGGCGGCGCTGGGGTTGAAGCAAGGACGGACGGTGGAGGATTGCCGGAGGATGATCATGAAGGTGGATGTAGATGGAGATGGAATGGTTAATTTTAATGAGTTTAAACAAATGATGAGAGGTGGTGGCTTTGCTGCTTTGACTTGATGATGAACACAAAAAAAAAAATACAAAAAGAAATTCTAATTCAGTATTTTTTTTTTTTTCGCCCTCTCACTCGAATTAATTAATTCATTGAATTGTAAATATTTTCCCGAGAAAAAAAAAGTACTCATTTTGGTCGTGGATTAGAGTTTGGAAAAAAAATGAAGTGTGTAAAGCAGATTTAATTTGGAAATCTATGCTACACATTTAATTTTTTTTTGATAATTTGCAAGTACATCTTTAAATGTTGTGGGATTGTCATTTTGGTTTCGACATTTGTTAAATTATTTTAACAAAATGTTGGAAATTTGAATGGAGAGGAATGAATGTAGTGAGGCCCCAGTTGAGATGATTGTAGGGAAGGAAGGGAGGAGGGGGGGTTAGGGAGGAACAACTTTTAGTAGCAAAGGCATGCATGGGGATGTTTTGTTGTTATTGTTTGTCTAGTATGTATGAATGAGATTTGAAATATTTCAGCTTTGTGAAAGTGGATTGTTTTGTTCCTCCCATATATCTGTTTTTCACAATGCAATGGTTATGTTTAGAATTTGCAATGTTATGAAGCAATTCTGATTTTTATCCTTTTGTATCATATAAAAAGTTAGGGTTATTATACATTTTTATTACATACATTTTTTATCTGTTTTCCATAACATAATGCAATGATTATGTTTAGCATTTACAATGTTATGTATCAATTTTGATTTTTATATGATTGTATCATATAAAAAGTTAAAATTATTATATATTTTTATTGCACACATTTTTATGTAAAATGTTTAATTTTTTAAGTTTCTTAATAGATGTGTTATTAATGAAACTCACTTATTTAGAATTTTTGAATTATAGTATAATTTTGAATTTCATTTTTGCATCAAAATCATGATACTGAATTTCATGGAGTAACAATTCAATTAGCTTCTGCTTATAATGGATCTTCCCTCCCATTTCTATCTCACTTTGTGTAGCAATTTTAAATGATAAACCTATTTTTTATTTTTTCACACTCGCATTGCTTGCACAATAATGTTGGAGGATTGAAAAACTGTATTAGGGTTGGAAAGTGGGTTGATTTTTTGGCTTTTTGATTTTTTTGACTATTTTAACTTGGGCTAAAAAGCTTGGTTTGGGAAGGACTTTTTGGCTTTTTTTGACTTTTTTTTGTGAGAGAATAGTGTAATGATTATGGGTTGGATGTAATATTTTATTTTTTGTGACTAAAATAGCTATTTTATCTTTTGTGACTAAAATAGTCAAAAAAAACCCACTTTAGCTCTTCCCAAACGGACCCTTAATGAGCTACAAAAAGCGATGGCAAATACAATGGGTCTCGTATGATTGTCATTCAGTATATTTAGTTTTAATTTTCTGAATTTATTTTTTTTAATTTAATTTTTAATTTTCTTATTTTTTTTATTTTTAGTAAATATTTTTAAAATTTTAAGCATTTTTATTTATTTTTTTAGATGCACCTTATTTAGATATATCTAAAAAGTAAAATTTTTGTAAAAGAATATTTTAAAAAATTAATAAATACACAAGAATATGAAAAATGTATTGAATTCTGATTTTTTTTTTTGTATTTTTAATATTTAGTGAATTTTCTAAATTTTTTTTTTTACAAATATTTTATTTTTTAAGTGCATTTATGTTAGGTATATCTAAAAATTTAAAAAAATTACTTAGAAAAATAAAAAAAATTCAGTGAAAATAAAAAAATACGAAAAATAAAAAAATTTAATTTTTTAAAATATGAATCCTAAAAATTTAGACCAAACAAACTGAATATAGTATTCAACAACTATAAATGTGTCGCATAATATAATAAACAAAATTTGATATAGAGATGGTTCTTCTAGCATTATTATTGCTCCTACATAACGTTGCGGTAATCATATTTTTTTACCACATGATTGGACATACTTACATTTGTTAAATACAACAGATCTCATATAATTGGGATGATCTCATTCCATATAAACCAGAAAGCCACCAACTAGCAATAACCTAAACCCCAATATACATGTTATAAGCTCACTCCGTATCAACCAATTGCATTTTAGGAAGACACTAACTAGCAATACCCTTACATAGTGAGTAGATTGAAATAGAATGGTTAAGCAATAGTCACTATATACAATCATGACCTCAGCAAGCAAACTTCAAAAAACAAAAAAATTATTTTTTCTTCACAATCAATAGGAGAGGAATAAGAGAAAGAGAAGTTGGTAGTAAAAATATTCGAACTTAGACATTATACGTGATAAGAGAACATCATATCCACTAGGCTAACCTTTGATTTTCAAGAAACTAATCTTTATAAACGAAAATGGTTTTAACACAATAAAATGAAAGCATTGTCTAGCTCTCTCACAAGAACAATACAACAGAGGACTCTTACAAATTAGCATACAGACTTCAATGGCCCTTTTTATTTCTAGCCATCTCTGATTGACTCAAAAAAACAAAGAAAAAGTCTAAAAAAGAAGACCATCAGCAAAGTCAAGAATGCGCGCCTTGAAACCTAAAAAGCGGCAGCAAAGAAAAGGGGCCGAGGGTCAAGGGAAGATTTGAGTAATGGTAGTATAGAGAAGCGGCAGGAAGTAGTCATTCATCCCCGTCAGTCTCCTCTGATTGTTCCTCGATTTCTTTTATGCTTGGACTATGTCAGCAACTTTGTGAGATACGTGTTCTGTGAGGGAAGATTTGAGTAATGGTAGTATAGAGAAGCCACAGGAAGTAGTCATTCATCCGCGTCTGACTCCTCTGATTTTTCCTCGATTTCTTTTATGCTCTGGACTATATCAGCAACTTTGTTAGATATGTGTTCTGTGTGTTTCTCCAAATCTTTCAGAATCATATTTAGCTGTTCTTCATAGACAGCACACCGTCGTTTACATTTCTGCCTCTCATTGTACAGTTCTAGTGACAATTCACGGATCCTCTTATCCTTCTCATCCTACAAGAAGTAAATAAACGAACCAGAATATGTACCAAAAGGGATCAATTACATGATAATAAACGTTGGATATAAGATGGAAATCAAAAAAATAGTAAAATACCTATCACTATCTGATTTTTCCATACTGATTAAACCTTTTGCGAAGCAGTAGAAGTACAATTTTGATTTAAATTAGGCACTTAACATTTCAATAAATTTGATTGGCAGATAACAAATTGACGTCAGTGATAAGCATTTTTAGTTCAATATATAATATGTAAACCATTTTTAGTTCTCTAAGACCCTTTTTTTATTTTTTATTTTAAAGCATCCAAAGTATTATTATTATTTTTATTAATAATCAAAACATACCTCACTCACTAAATGCTTAACAGATCCCCTCCATGGAACTTTTCCTGGACTCATTAGCTTATGGCTGTGCTCTTTGATAAATTTGGTGATAACCCACTTTACTCCATCTCTTAGAGCTAGCCTCATCATTGCTTGACATCCTTCTCTAGTAACTGGGGGAGGAGGAAGGACCCTATCTTTTCGGTAGACATACTTCTTTGCACGAAATCCTTCTTTTGAACAAACAAAATCCTGCCCAATAACCTGATTATTCACTCGTGAACGACGATTATGATGAATACGTATGGTGAAACCAATGTTCCTACCATAGGTAACATAAAACTCTCTAGCTTCATCTCTTGAATTGAACTCCATGCCTACATATGGTTCCAGAGCTTCCACATTTGAAGACAGTTCCTCGGCCGATTGTTCTACCATATTGTCATCTTCACCCACACAAAAATCCAAATTATTTGGATGCTCTTTTTCTATCCTTTCATGTTCTCCATAGCTTTCAAATTGTAAATCTAAGTCACTTTCATCTGAATCAAATCCATTACTAGATGCATTTTCCATTGAGCTCCTATAGCACAAAGTACAAGAATTATTCTACATCCACACCAAATAAAAGAAATGACACACTAGAAAATGCTAAAGCCAAGTACACTCAATGCAAAACCTCAAAAACCAATTATTATTTCGGTTATCGAAAGTAAGATAAATTGTGTCTTGTATGAACAAATTTTCTTAGGTTGTGTTTGCTTTGAGGATTTGATGAGAGAAATTGAAAGAAAAAAGGAAATAGAAAGAAAAGAAGAAAGAATTGATAAGATTCAAATTCCAAGTTATGTTTGGTTGAGTTGGGAAATGGAGAAATAAAATGCACAAGTAAACCTAAAAGATAAAAAATAGGATTGCATTTCTTTCTCACTTTCTTTTCCCTTGTGTTTTCCATTATTACCAAACGAAAAGTGAGATTGTATTCTTTTTTTCTTTCCATTTTCCTCACCAAATCCTCCAACCAAACACAGCCTTTGTGTTTTTCATCCATGTCTGCTAAGAGTCATGTCTCAATTTTAGGCATTAAAGTAAAGCTTTGATAAAATAATGGCACAAAAGGTATTTTTTATACTCCTTTTCTGCAAGCAATGTTATATTGCCTACTTCAAAACACAGACACTGCAATCTGGTATTGCGTAGGGCATAAAAGCATAATGTCAAGGGATTACACCTATAACATAACATAGAGACTCACAGCCAATGGAAAATAATTAGAATAAAAACAATGATATTGATCCTAAAAAAAAAACACCATTAAATTGTGGAACTCAAGAACCCGATACTTCGGGAGAGGCTAAGAAGCATGAACACAAATATGGATGCGGACACGAGACAGGGCGATTTCAAAAAAATGGAGACACGGACACAACGGAGGACACGACAATAAAATATGTTTTCATATATTTTTATTTACTATCTAGATTAATATTACATCCACAAACAATCAATACTAACAAAAAAAAAAAACTCTAATTCTATATATATATATTTTTTTATTTTTAAAAAAACTTTTAAATTAACACTTACAATTTATATATACTTTTATGGATAATCTATTAAGTATTTAAATCTAAGAAAAACATAATAAACATTCAATATTCATCAAAAGAACTAAAGAAAATGGGCGAAAAGACAACTTGGCATATCCCTAGTGTGTCCCCGATACGTCCTTTGAAAATAAATAAATTAAATAAGGGAAAACGAATTGTGGCGTGTCCCCGCCGTGTCCGTGTGTCCGACATGATACGGTACGTCACTTGTTTTGAAGTGTCGGTGCTTCATAGGGGAGAGGTATGGAGGAAGATGTTATATACCTTGGTTTGAGAGTGTTACTTGGAATCTCTCAATTCTAGGTGCTACTTGGATGTGCCTCTTGTACACTTGATGACTTAAAAACAATAATACAATTACAAATCGGAAAAGAAAAAAGCAAAAATGAAAAATTAATGACTGGAGATTCGCTAACATTCTTTGGTCTCATTTGCAAAACTTTTGTGGCAGATACATAACAAATTGGACCTCGAAACACAATTATGCAGTCATTTATATAATTCAGAAATCCTCAAATCTTGCTTCATTCTCAAGATCCATATTAGCCTATTCAAGATTGACTATGCAGAAGCACCATGTCAACTCAAAGAGGGCAATGGCTCAACTGTACTCATTTCATGAACAGGAACATTGGTGTGAATGGAGGTCAAAAGTCAATATATTCTAACCAGCATAGTTAATGTGAAGTTGAGAGGCTCCAAAAGTACTAGGGGTTGTTTGGGGTGTCCTAAATAAGTGCAGTTTTTGTCTTTTTGAACTAAAAAGTTGAGGAAAAAAATATGGATGTTTTGGTTAACTTTTTGACTTTTTATGAAAAAATGTGTATTAAAAAATTATATAAAGAAGTGTGTAAGAGAAGATGGTGTAGTACACAGTACGGAATTGGCAATCAGCCGGCTTGGTATTACATGGGAAAATATTGCCTCCTTTTCGGGCTTTGTTTGGATAGTGTTGTTCGGCCTATGGGGATCCACCACGGGTCCCTTTTTTCTAATCGAAACCGTTTAATATGTAGAACTCGCCGAGTACTATGTGCTTGTAAAAAATCACTTTGATTGGATATCGATAACTATTTGATCGTGTTAGTTTTTTTGGTCAACTGTTAACTATAACACCATCCAAATTTGATACAAAACTGATTTGATCATGTAGTTAGTGATATCCAATAGACGTGATTTTTTACAAACGTACAGTACTAGACGAGTTCTACATCTTAACGGTTCGGATTATCAAAACGGGACCCATGGTGAGCCCCCACGGGCCTAACTTTACCATTCAAATTGATTGAATGTACCCATGCAATTTTTTTTCCCTTTCCTTTAAGTAAAGCTGGCCTGACGTGGCCTGACGTCACCTACATTGATCGAACAAAAAGTGGATTTGTATTTAATATTTATATATTAATTTTTTTTATATTTTTTTGATGAATAGTGATAACTTTTTAATTTTTTTGATAACTTTTTGGCTTTTTGACTTTTTTCCCACTTGCCAAACTTAGCCTAAGATTTTGTCAGATCAAATTATCATTTAGAAATTTTCAACAGGCAGACAACTATGGAAACAACAGAAAAAAGTACTTGCGTCAGACACCTAACACTTGGGTAAGGATATGGAATGTATATCTAACATTTGTAGTTGGAGATTCACCCAACAAGTATATTTAGGGCATGTTTGTTCTGTTTATGCTTTCATTTTTCGATTCACACTATTTCTGAAAACTATTTTTGGGATTTTTTTTTAAATTTTTTTATTTTAAAACAACCAACCTTTTAGGAAACACAAAAAAGTTGTTATGAAAACAATTTTCGCACAAAATTAAAACTATGGATTTTTCAAACTCTTCAATTTTTTTATTTTTTTATTTCTAGCAAACAATAAAAACAAACAAGAAGCAATGAAAATAGAGAAAATGAAAACACAACCAAACAAGTCCTTAGTAATTTGAGTTTAATATATAACTATGGAAGAAATGCTTTATGGCACCTTGAGTACCATTTTATAAAAGAGGTATATTAAGAAATATGAATATTTTGTTGTGTCTCCATCTCCTTCGACATTGAAGTTAGATGAATTGAACACTTAAAAGACACATACCAACACCCATACCTAAGTCCATGTAACATGGATCCTATGACTATGCTATAGGGCTATTTAGCCTTTAGGGTTTATTAGGATTTTGCTCTCTATTACACTGTATAAACTATGTAATTAAGTTCTTTTTTCATGGCATCAATACAATATGAATCTCTCACTCTCTCTGTATGTTGCATTGTCTTACAGCACCATGTGTTTTCAGAATATTTAAAAATTAGAGCCACAAAATCTTTAATACAAGGGAGCCCCTCCAGGGCTAGTGTAGAACAAGCATTTATCTTTTAGTTGCTTGGAATGCTGTACTTGAAGATGTGTTGGGTATAGTTGGTCCCTGTTCCTTTCGTTGTTTTTTTTGTGTGTGTGTGTGCGCACACGCGCGCATTGTTTTCCTTTTACCAATTAACAAAGAAAAGGAACACGCTACTCCTAGGAAAATGAATGCTAAATTCATACCATTTTCTATTGGTTAGTGTGTGAACTAGTTATTGTGCCACCATTCAGGTTAGCAATATAGCATCAATTAACAAACTATGCACAAGCCAAGAATATCAATGAATTAGGGTGAGTATTGACAAAGATGAATGCTGGCTTCAGAACAAACTATTCCCGATAACTAAAATTAATTATTTGTTCAATACTTCCTAAAGAATTATATAAAATAACATCACATTATTGCAACCATTAATTCAATTACATCAAAAAGCATTGTAGAACAACCCATTCAAAATAAATGCATTTCTTTATTTCCCCAATTTTCTAACCAAAGAGAAATGCATTTCTTTTCTCCTCAAATCACCAGGACTGTAAGAGCCATTTTCAGTTTTCAGAGTACATAGTCCCATAGTTGGAAACTCTGCTTATTTAGCATAAATTGATCAAAACATCATTGTCTCAAATTTTTAACAAGAAATTACAAAGAAATCATATCTAAAGAGCTGAAATAACAACAATTAAAAACAAAATCAACACAATTTTGGCACCTGAACAATTACCCACTATCAGAATTCTTCAATTCTTTTAACAAATCATGTGAAAATGCGCATATACACATGGGATTTGATGAGCTTACCCGTTAGCAAAACCGGAATACGAAACCAGAATCCAAATTCAAAAACCCAGATCGATCTCTGATTGTTTCATTTTGTGGGTTCGGAAAGAATGATTTTCGAGGGTTGGAGAGCGAGAGAGAGAGAGAAAGAGAATCGTCTTGTGAGAGTGATAAAGCTCGTCTTTCTTCAGCAACAACTGGAAGAACAATCACGCGCCTGAAATGGTCGTGGGATTTCGCCATGTAATTTCGGAGGTATTTTGTAAAAGGGCAATGGTGGAGGGTCACAATTTTTGTGGCTTAAATGGCTCAAAACTGTCAAAACGACGTCGTTTTGAGCACAAAACATGCCAAAACGACATCGTTTTGGCAGTTTTGAGCCATTTGAACCACACAAAATTGTGGCTCTCAAACATTATTCTTTGTAAAAATAATTACAAATTAATGATAAATTTATGTATTAATAGTTAAAATTATAAATTATTTTAATAATATATAATTATTATTTTTTTAAAAACTCCAATAGACTGTAATTACCCTTTATTTATACGTAATAAATTCTCATTACATTATCTCAATCTTTGTACATTGTAAAAGTTATTTTTAGTGATTAATATTTCGTTACTATTATGCTGTGTTTGGTTGACATATTTGGGAAGAGAAACGAAAAATATGTATAAAATTAGATAAAATATAAATATAATTTATTTATATTTCACTTACATTTTTCTTTTCTATTTCTCAAATCTCCTAACCAAATACAACGTTAGGATTTCATTCAATTTTAGTGCAAAAGAGAGTGACACAATTATAAAATTCACATCCCATCAAATAAATAAATAATAAATTATGAAATTCACAAATAATTCTGTCATTCTATAAGAGGTTTGTTAACACAAAAATAAATTACATCTTGTTTTTAAAAAAAAATTTAAAATTTAAATTATGTTTTTTTAATTTTTAATTTTTTTTACTTTTCCACAAGACAAATTTAAACACTAATTTTTTTTTTGAAAAAATTTCAAAAGCCAAAATAAACCAAAACAATCTATTGTTTTTGTCTTTTTTTAGATTTTTTTTTATTCGTTTCATAGAGTAAAATTTAAAAGCTTAATTTTTTTTTACAAAATTAAAAATAAATCATTTATTTGATTGTCACATCAAGTAGAATTTAAAAGTCCAAATTTTTTTTACAAAATTAAAAAAAAAATGCTAAAAATGAAAATTAACCAACAAAAAATTTGAAAAAAAAAAAGGGGTAAATCCCAAACACCCAAGTTTCATAATAATGAAAAGAAAAAAAAAAAGCCTAAAAAGGAACTCAACTCCTGGAGCTTTGTACATTGAAGTTCATTGTTAAATGGAACTTCTTTTTTCTTTTCTTTTTTTTTTAAATATTTATGAGGCACATTCAAGAACACTGGTTAAATAACTAAAGCAGCTGGTGTGGCTTAAACCTGGGCCGAATGCCCCGAAAATTGGTGCCCAACCACCAGGCTAACCGCTTGGCGATGTAAAAGAATTGGTTCCCAACTCAAAAATTGACTGGTTCACAAGTAGTTGTCAATGGAGTTGCAAACAAACAGCCCAAAGTAAACATTAGAAGTGCAATCAATTATACAACATTAAGGAACAAGAGCTGCAGCTGATTCATTGATAGGAAGGCAAAGCAAATGGTTCAAAATGACACTTACATTATTCTAAGTCTAAATCATCTTGTTCTCCTTCAGATTCAAGTTCTCTCAGTTTATCAGAAACTACTTGCACATTCAATGATAGTCGCCGAGTGTGTTCCTCAACATATTTCAAAATCATCTGTAGCTGTTCTTGATATGCAGCAGATCTTTTTCTCTCGCGATGTAGCTCTGTGGATAGTTCCCGGATCTTAAGATCTTTCTCATCCTGCAAAAGTATCATGATAAACATCAAAAGAAAAACAAGCAGATAAAACACTCGTAAGAAGTTAGTTATATGTTAAGAACAGAATCCCTATTGACATATTACTACACGTAGCCAAAACATGATGGGCGAAGGACGCAACGCCGTGTTTTCTCATTTTTTAATTAATATATATGGTTCTTGCTCTACAAAAATATTCAGATATTCACCTTTTGGTGACTAGCACAAATGTTCAAGAAGTATTGGAAGCCAAATCAAACCTAACCCTTTTAATACAACAATGTTGACAAATCTAAATCAGGTTTTTGCGATATTTATAAGCTTTGACCAGTTTCATTATCTTCGTCCTAATTTATTTAATTTTGATGATATATCCATTTATGCAGTCTTTGATTAATCTCTTTATCAGTTGGAAGGAAAATCTTTTTAATCCAAAAACTAACAAAAAGAATTCACAAAATGATATGGTTCTTAATGGTGGTTTCTTGCTACGCATAGCAGACTAAAAACACACTACACAAGTTTAATTTCTAAAATATATCACTTGATTATAACTTAAAAAGTAATACAATCTATGCAGAGTAAGGATCACTCCATTGAAATATTAGTAACATACCTCACAGAATGCAATCCGATGCGATCTTCGTGGTGGGATTTTGCTAGGGTTGAGCTCATGATTATGCTCTTTGACAAAACCATATACAACCCACTTACCTTTATCCTTTGCAGCTATCCTCAACATTGCATTGCATCCCTCCCTGGTAGCTGGCCGCAACGGAAGGATTCTGTTTTCTCTCTTTGCATGTTTATCTGCACGGAAACCTTCTTTTGAACAAACAAACTCCCGGCCAATTACTGAGTTGTCTTTAAGTGATCGACGTGTGCGATTATTCCGTATGGTAAAGCCCACACACCGTCCATACATCTCATAGAATTCCCTAGCATCCTCAGCTGATTCAAATTCCATGCCAATAATTGGTTCTAGAGGTTCCAAACTTAGAGGCAAATTTTCAACAGATGGTTTCATGATATCGTCAGTTCCATTCAGATTATCTGATGGGTCATCTTCCACTGTTTCATGACTATCGAATGTTTCAGCTAACCAACGCCTATAGATTCTGTTTGAATTAAACCCTTGGCCAGGAGTGCTTGCCATTCTGAACCTACCAGAAGAAAAAAAATTCATAGTATCAATCAACATCCTGGAGTACTCTGGAGAAGTAGAAGCAATGCACTGCTTATTCTCCCTGCATCCTAAGCATTCAAAAGAAAGCAACAAAGGTACATATAACAGTATGTACTAGCTTTCAGCCATGTAATCCAACATGCAACACGCCGTCAATGTTAACTACAATAATATCAAATCTCATGAATTTAACTGGCAGCCAGAGCTCAATATTTTAAAATTTTGATCCAAATGTGCAACCTTGTGAGTAAACCCCTTTGCATCTACATTGAATTAAAAATGGCTCGGCTCTAATAATACCAGGAAGAAAGACTAGTCTTTGAAACATAAACCCAAAAAAGATTGATGATATTTGACAGTAGGAAGAAGAGCAATTTCAGAATTTCAGTTCTTTTGCATCCTAATATGAGAAAGATATTATAGGGCAGATGTCCCAGATTTACATACAAAGAAATACCTACAACATCTGGGTCTGAAGGCCTATGAAAAAATATTATTTTCTTTTGATATTTTACTAAATAAAAAATTACAATGGCAATTCTTTAATTAGAAAGGCACCAAGGCTGTGATATGTCCCAAAAGTTTAAGCAGATAGGAAATGGCATAGACTACTACTTGTGAATCTAAAAAAGGAGTCTTCCTATCAACCTCAAAAAAAATATGACTAAAGGCACACAAAAGAAACACAGTTAAATGTATAGTAAAGAGAAGAGGAAGAAGAGATACAATTACAATGTACAACTAATGAGAGACCACAAAATTATGGTTCTCTCCTTAGACTGATATGGAACAATGCAAATAAAGAAGAAGAAACCTTAGGCTTTGGCACCTATGAGGTCTACCTCAGGCACCAAACATAATAGAAATCCCAAAGATCTTTATTAATTTATTTCTAAGTCTCCAATCTGGTAGTTTTAGGATTCTTTAAATAGCCACAAAATTATGGTTCTCTCCTTAGACTGATATGGAACAATGCAAATAAAGAAGAAGAAACCTTAGGCTTTGGCACCTATGAGGTCTACCTCAGGCACCAAACATAATAGAAATCCCAAAGATCTTTATTAATTTATTTCTAAGTCTCCAATCTGGTAGTTTTAGAATTCTTTAAATTGCCTCCAATCTTATCAAACAAAAGACATGACAATTCAAAACTAAAAATAATAATAATCCCAACTACAATCTTAATCAAATAAAAAAAAAAATGCAACCCATCTAAATGCCACCACAAGCAACATCTCCCACATCTCTCCCTTGATGCTATTATTTACTTGCCCATGCAACCTTATAAAAACCCAAGGGAAACCATCCTCCACATATTTGAACACACAAGACACTGAAAATTCTCCTGCCTTACTCTTCTCCCTTTCTACCACCCTCTTATTCCACAACACCATCACATCCTTTCAATACCCTTAACTTGTAAATGCCTCCACTCAACAAACCATCCACCCCAAACACACCCAACCATCTCATTACTCATATCTTCATTTTTTGTTTCTTGAAGACAAACTATGTGTGACCTCGAATCTCTAAGAAGAGATTTTACTACCACCCTTTTATATCTTGGATCCAAGCCCATCAAATTCCAATTAATAATTTTGCTTCTCATGATACAAACATCTAAGAAACTCTCCCCTTTGCCCACTTCCTTTCCCAACCTTATTTTTCCTAGTAAATAGAACATCCCCACCTAGCATCAATGGATTAAAAAGGCGCATCACCTCCTCCTCAAAGCCTCACAAGAAACCCCAATAAATTTGCTGAAGTCTCTCACCCTCTTTAGCACCCATGCTAAGACTTCATTAGGTTGCAACATCTCCTTCTTAATTCACAAGTCTATAACTGTGGTCTGAGGATATATTTATCTGAGCCAAGCATTGCCACTAGAGTGCATCCCAAAGGGTCAAAGAGTTCTAATTGTGTTAAAAAGTTCAGATGTAGCTTCACGTGACTAGTTGTTCAATCAAGTGATTAATACAAGTTGGACATGATCAAAAGATTCAACAAAAAATTAGTACACTACTAGACATTGCAACTATGTTAAAAATTCACATATGCCTATGCATAATTGGATATTGATTAAGTAGTGGACCATGTGTTTTAGAATTTTTTTTCACAGATGTAGATGAGTCATACAGATTTTAGAAAAGATAAAATTTGATTATGAACCCATTTGTAAAGATAGCAAACATTTGAAATATTGACTATGAACCCATGTTACTTATGGACTAAAATTTGAAAGCTCTTATACTGCTCACTCTAGCCATTACTCTTACTGACGCAAGTAATGCTTATTGATATCATTTAGAAAAGGGGAAAAGGCAAAGTCTTTTCACATTTCCAAACGACCCTCATTTCTTCAATTCAAACTTTTCCAAAATCTACTATAAATCTGTTTGGTTTGGTTTTTCAAAAACCGTTTTTCAGATGGCTTTTCATTTAATTTTAATGAATTTCTTTTTTTTCATATTATAGTCAATTTTTTTGGGGTACTTTGTAGATGTACTAATCAAGACGCATCTTACTTAATTATTTTTTAAAAAAATCACTAGAAACAAACAAAAAATTGAACAAAAATCTATGTGTATTTTTTTTCGGATTTTCGTTTGTTTCTGGTATTTTTTTGATATATATTTTAGTTTAAAAAATTTACTTTTTAATCCATCTAATCTTGATGTAAAAAACTAAAATATATATAATAAAAAAAAAGCTGTCCAAAAATAATTTCTGAAAATTAAAACCAAACAAAAGTTGGGTTTTCTTTTTTGGGAACTAATCTTAAATGGGTAAGATGTAAATGCATGAACCATCTCCAAAAACTAGTTTGCTTCTTCAAATATATCAAATTTGTTGCATTTTCATTAGTTGCTTGATTAAGATCATAACAAACCAGAATCAAGCAAGTAGAAGTAGATACAAATATAGAAGTATTAACATGAACTTCTTTTTTTCACAAATCAATCTTCAACTGTTGACATAAAACAAGAACAGTATTGAAAAAATAAATAAATAAATAAATAAATAAAAATTTGTTGTATGAATCTTCAGCTTGAGGCGATGGAATTCAGTTAAAAGACATACGAGATAGAGAGCACAAACCTGAGGAATTGAAGGAAATGTACATACAAAACTGTATGTTACGGAGTTCCTTCAACTTTTGGACTTAGGGAGCATTGACGACGATGAGAGAGAGCCCTAACCTGAGGAATCGCGGTAAATGTATATATATAACTGTACCACTGGCGGGGTGAAAAGAAAACAAATTATTGTACTGAAAAAGAACATTGCACTATCTCATATATAAATGGTAAATAGTAGGGAAATTTATTAAGAAATGATATTTCAAGTATTTGTATTTGAATTAGTCAATAATATATTTTTATATTTTAATAAATCTTAGTATTTGTATATTTGATTCATAAAATTTTAATTCTTATATTTAAGGTATTTTATGGATAATTTTACTCATATAAATGTTTCTTGACGTATTAAAAATTTGGCAATGTGAATATTTATATTGACAGTATAAATGTTCACATCATAAAACATTTTATATTGTCAATGTGAATATTAATGGAGTGCTGCTATTAGCACCTGCCAAAATTCTTTAGACCCCCCATTTCTTTGGACCACAATCCTAAACCCTAAATTTTAATAATATTTTTTTGTACACCCCACTTATTACCAAATCTACCCCCATTCATAATATTTTTACAATCAAATGCACACCCACCTAATTTTTCATACCTTTCCTTCCCTGACTGTCGGTCTACCACTGTGTTCATCTTCTCCACACCGATTGAATTCGTTTTGCTGCTGAAGTGCTTGGGATATTCCGCAAGTGCTGCTTGATTCCATTCCGAAAGTGTGCTTTGGACCCCCAATTTCGGAAATTCAACACTTTACTGCTGTAAAATTTTTCATCTACCATCAAAGGTATGATTTACTGCTGTAAAATTTTTCATCAATTTATTTATCTTTTCTCTTCAATTAATCATAACCACACAAACAAAAAATCCTTTACCAACCAAAACCACAATCACACAAAACCCTAATTGTGGGAGAATATTATGTAATGACCAAGTGTGGATAAGGGCATTTTGTAAAATTGAACATGTATGGATATATATATATATATATATATATCTTGAGAGCTCGTGTGGATTATCTCATGATAGTTTGAAAATGAAATTAAAAAGAGAACTTTCGTGGAAAAGTGTTAACAATGACCCAGTGTTATTTTCTTACTCGAGTCTTTTTTTGGTTTGAACCTTGGGCTTGTTAAGGAAATTAAAAGAAACTCTCTGTTAAACACGACTTAGTGTTGTTATTTTTGTTTGAACTTTGAAAGTGTTAAAATAGAATTTTGTTGCTTTGGTCATTTTTGGTTTGAACCTTAGGCTTGGTAACACTTTACGGATTGGATTTATTGATTTTGGGAATGCATGTTGGTACAAAGTTTGTAGTCACATTTTTTTTGTCCATGTATGTTTAGAGGGATGGTATTAAATTTTTTGTCAGTTAGAACTTGAGAACTTGTGCAGGGTTGAGATACTTTATAGAATAGAGGATGATTTGATTGTTTTGGAGTCATGCAGTATCGTGTTTGGTTTGGTTGGAGCTATGTACTGAAATTTTGTATAAATTCGTTAGATTTATAGTACTATTGATTTATACTGTTTGCATGTCTAGTTAGTTATTATAATATACTTGATTATTATTTAAATTTGAATTGTGTGAGCTCATTTAAGTAAGCTAGTTAAGGATATTAATTAAGTCATTTATCTATTCTGTGTGCATAACATGCCTGTATTTAGCAGTAAAGCCCAAGCAAGCCCAAGTTATAGACCAAATAATGCATCTGACATTTGACATATCACCAAACGAACTACACTCAAAGTAGAGGTAAACAAAAACTAGCAGCAGCCCCAATATATTCCAGCAGACCAGTTAAGCTTCCTCCTAACCCAGCATGGAAAAAGATAAGCAAGGACGCGTAATAGCTAAACACACACAGTTTCCCCCCAACCACAACCCGCTTGGGTAAGCCTCAAAATAGTAACCATACATACAAAGATGGTGAATAACAATCATAGCCTCAAAACTAGCAGCTCTCCTAATGTCTTCAATTTTCTCATCGGGCAGATTCACCTCCATATCCTTCATCAGGGTGCAGTTCTTCCCACAAAGAAACAGCATAACATGCAATCAAGTAGGAAATAAACACCCCAAAGCTGCTCCCAGAATTATCCAATTGACCTACACTTGAACCACCCCATTTCAACACACACACATACACACACGCACAAACACACACACACACATACACACACACACATTTTGTAGGCTAAGTCACTCAGCCCACAACAATAAGAAAACCTGAAACAAATCTCCCTATTATATGAGCTAACATACTCAATCCTCATTAAAGCCATTTCACTCAGCAAATAGGCAGGAAAAATAATATAAGAAGTAATGAAAGACTTGATTCCAAAAATGTATCCTCTCTTCACTAGGCCCTCAACAAATAACTCCATAATATTTGTACCAGTTTTCAGAACCTGCAGCAAGATAAAGTTAGAAATGATATAGTGCTTTAGGTCACTCAACCCTCCACACCCTGTCCTCTCATGCCTAGGTCTTTGCTCACTATCACTCAACTCACCATTCATACAGTACAGCCAGCTTAACAATCTGCATAACAACCAGTTAATGAACATCATAAATTTTGTTGCTTACCATATTCAACACACAGGAGAAATATGCAACCCTCCAAGCCCCTGACTAGTATGTATAGTGGTAGTATCCCTCAAGATGGAATAATAGGTCATAATCAATAAAAAATATTTTATGATACCAACAATGCCTCCCCGATTAAGATAAAAAAGAATTTTGCTTTAAATTATGTAAAAGATAAGATGTAGTTTTTGTTATACATTGTTTGTTGTAAATGACAAATCTGAAATTGTCAACAAAGAATATTGGTTAGTTTAGCTTTTGTCGTGTACTAAGCCTTTTGTTTTTAATACCAAATTCCTAATTGTTTAGGCTCTCAAATTTTTGCACTTTTTTGGGAAAGCTTTGTTTTTGTCTATAATTTTATTTAGGATTTTTGTTTTTGTTTTTGATGGCCTTGCTCTTGGCATGCTTCTAATGCATTGCAATTCTCAAATTTTGGTCCAACTCAAATATCTTATTTTTTGTAGTTTCTTTTTATCGTTTATTCATTTTGTGTTTGGTAAGAAACTATCTTAGTTTGTTGTTTCCTATTTGAATTGGTCACGACACACCTATTTAAAATAGGCTTCAATGGCTTATAAGTTATATAGTTGAGGTTGAAAACGATGGGGGCAATCAATTTAATGTGAGTGACATGCGTGATGATTTGGGGGATGAACCAATAGATATGGGTGATGAACCAACAGATGCTCGAGATCGCCCAACAGCGTCTAGGAGACGTAATGTTATACTTTCTCAAAAAGTGGCTAAGAGACCTCGACGCACTCGTAAGACTAAGGATCAAGGTAGTGGAGTTAATGAATAGGACATGAATGACATAGGTGCTGCTCTAGCAAAAACGGTTGAGGTTGAAAACGATGGGGGCAATCAATTTAATGTGAGTGACATGCGTGATGATTTGGGGGATGAACCAATAGATATGGGTGATGAACCAACATACATGGGTGACTATGAAGACCAACCAGCAGATACAACTGAAAAAGTTAATGAAGATCGTACTGGACCTTTTCCTGGAGGGCCATATGATCCTTTAATTTTGAAGAGTTTTCATTGTCACGTAGCAGCCAAAATTTGGCATAATGATGTAAGTCATTGTCTTACATTAATTTAATGTTTCAAATTTTGTTTCAACTTTACTAATTCTTTTTTTTTTTTCTTGTTTTTATTCTATGTTGCAGGAACGCGGAATACTTAAATGCTTAAATCATGGTTTTAAAGTTGGAGAATGGTCATTCAACTTGGAAAATAATGAATAGTCCAAATTTCATGGTTTAATTAAGGATTCGGGGTTGATTTCTTTAGTGAGTTGCTCCTATAAATTTGTAAACAAAGTTGTAGTTTCGGCCTTTGTAGAAAGATGGCAGCCAGAGACAATCACGTTTCATCTACCATTTGGTGAGATGTCACCAACCTTAGATGATTTTAGTGTAATTCTTGGGATTCCAGTGATTGGTAAATCAGTCTCTTGCAAGAAGTTATCAAATGTTGACACTGCAAATATGCTAGTTGAGGCTTTGGAAGTAACAATAGATGAGGCGAATGTAGCGTTGAAGGTAGCACAAGGCCAGTCTATTAAGGTAGAATGGTTGAAACAACGGTTTGGGTCAGTGTCTGATGCGGACAATGATAATACCATTGAGTATGCAGCTAGGGCATATTTGTTATATTTGTCAGGTTATACCTTATTTGCAGACAAGACAGGCACACGTGCTCCGGTAGTGTATTTGTCTTTTCTTATGGATTTGCGGTCGGTTGCTTCTTATGCTTGGGGTGCAGCCGTATTGGCTTTTTTATACCGGCAATTGGGTACTGCCACGAGGTATGCCGTAAAACAGATGGCGGGATACATGACATTGCTGGAAGCTTGGATTTACGAGCATTTTGTTGGTGCTAGACCCCACCCCAATTTGGATTACAAAGAAGATCAGCCTCGTGTCTTTCGTTGGATTTCTCGCACCCAATCTGGTTCGTCAACGTCTATTTTACAAAGGTTGCGAGAGGACCTCGACAGATTAAAAGCCCATGACATAAGTGTCAATCTTATGTCAATGTATATACATATTACTTGTTATTATTCAATCTAATTCATAACTTACATATAAAATTTTTACTATTGTAGGTTATTTGGGATCCATACCATGATAAGCGTATTGAGCATCCTTTTTTTTATGTTGCTTACTACAGTCGATGCTTAAAATGTATGCACATTGTTGAACCATATCATCCAGATAGGGTACTGAGACAGTTTAGAAGGGTCCAAATTATTCCCTCACCTCCGCTTGCTCCAGTTCGAGCCTCTAGAGGATCCACTGCAAAACAGTACATCATTGCCTATAAATACTTGGATACAATTTGGGAGAGTTGGGAAAATCACTTGATGTTTGAGATAGCTCGTAGTGTTCTAGTCTTGCATCCATAGGATTGCGTGCCAGGTTACTTGGACTGGTTTACTTCCATTTCACACGTGTAAGTTCAAAACTCGACATATCGTTCCAAGTATAATCCACGCACAGAGACATCAGCTGATTATCGTCAACTTCAATTCGTATGTCAATTTTTACCATTTTCATTTTCATTATATTTTGTTTAAGGCAATTGTTAAGTTTTATTTTATTGTTTGCAGCGCATTGACAGTGCCTTAAGCATTTCACGTTCAATGCTCGAAATTGGATACAATGAAGCAGCTCCCACCCGAGATATTGTACGTAATGCTATGAAGAAGATAACAAAAGTCTTGGAGGGCCAACAGTCCACTGAAGAACACACACCATCAGAGAACTTGGTGTACACTCGTTGTAAGAAACATGGAGCAACGTCTTAGACTTTAGTATTTGTTGGGTTCAAATATTTTAAACGTGTATTTTGAAATCTTAGTCTCAAACATATGTTAGACTTTTGGATGGTGTTAGACACAAGTATAACAAATGTCAGATAACACTTTAGTATATGTTAGACTTTTTGATGGTGCTAGGCTTGTATATGACTTTACCATACCTTTTTGGGCACTCAATGAATTATTTTGATGGTTTAGATGGTTTGATGGTTTGAATTGGTTTGATGGTTTAGATGGTTTGGGCACTCAATGAATTATTTTGATGGTTTAGATGGTTTGAATTGGTTTGATGGTTTAGATGGTTTGGGCACTCAATGAATTGGTTTGATGGTTTGAATTGGTTTGATGGTTTGATAGTTTGTTTGTTTCAAATATTGGTAAGTTTATTGCTTTATGGTCATCACTGAATAAACAAATCTGGACTAATAAATAAACATGAATTTTCCGTTCATCACTGACTTACCGAACAAATCCTCATCGTTCAGCACTGTAAAACCGAATCAAACTGACTTATTCAGCACTGAAATGCCGAACATATATGGTTTTTTAGTACTGTAGTGCCAAACATAAATGCTTGCTAGCTCTTTCACAGTTGCTGGCCCACTCATTTCAGCACTGTTGAACCGAATAAAAACAATTTCTTCACCACTGTATAGCCGAAAAAATATATTTTGTTCAGAATTGTTTTGTCAAACAATAGTGATCTTGTCAGCACTGTATGTCCGAACAGAATTTGTTCATCACTGTGTAACTTGAATCCATTCCAATTCACTTTTTTCATCAACTTTAATTCAATATAACACAGAAAATAACATTCATTTCAATTCACTGTTTACCATTCCAATTCATTAGAACAAAGAAATAACAGGAATTAAATCCATTCAAAATGCATAACTTAAATCCATTCCAATTCCCTCTTTTCCATTTTAAGTTAGTTTAACAAAGAAAATTACATAACTGAAATCCATTCTAATTCTATTTCCTAGCTCACTCATATGACATTAGTCCTCATCCAGGTCTACTGTTTCGATTGTGGCTACGTCTAGATTGATGAGTGATTTGAAATGTTGCACTCTAGAACTGTATGCAACCTCCCAGCCTATTGCACAAGGGTCATGGTACCTCCGCCAGTTAGTTGCTATGGGTGGAATAGGATGATTAGGCTCCAAAATGAGCTACAAAAAAAAAAAAAAAAATTAGAATGTACAAAAATGTTGTCGTTATTAAGAAATCTGTCGTTATAATATACAAGAATGTACAAAAATATTAGAAACCAATACTTGAACAAAATGGTTGTTGTTGACAAAGCCAATACATATCTCCTTGCGAGAGGCAACAGACATCGGTATTGACCTAAGAGGGAGGAATGTCAAACATTGTTACATAGACAAGTGGACCAAAATGACTTGGTAGAAAGACGATATAAGATGACCTATGTCAGGCATCGTCATCCACCGGTCCAACCCAGGGTTTGGTTCAAAATATGCCAAGATGTTGGTCAGGTCATCGATTCTCTCTTGTGATCCAAATAATTTCCTGTAGTGGTCACTATGCGCATGTAACTCTTTAAGTAAATCTTTTCTCACTTGTAACCATTCTTTTTCTCCAAAACCCATCAAACCAGCAATAGCTCAGAACCCACAATTGCCATCTGCTGCAACATCCTTAACGTATTTAATATATCGTCTTAATTCAGAAGGGAATGCCTCTAAAAAGCATTTTGGATTCAATGATCGAAGCTGGTGAACCTATCACAGGCCAATGCCAATGTTAGACAATAAAGTAGACAACATGACACAATTATATACCTCACTAGTAAACCATGTACCTTTTCTTTCTTCTTTGTTTTCACCTTTTTTGTTGTTACACTCGCCTTGGCAATGACTCCGGGTGGATAACTATCTTATGCTGAAGCAACTATTTCAAACACAAATGGCTCACGATGAGTGGAGGTCTCAATCTTCAATTTTGGCCAACCCCATGGATTAGACTTCACTTCCGGCTCAATCAAAAACGTAGAATCAGGTTTGGCTAACTCCCTCAATTTTTGTAACAAAAACCTCTTCATATCTGAATCCACTTCCTCGAATTGTTTGGCAAACAATTCTAACTCAGGTGTACAAGTCCACTCTTCACTTACAGTGTGTGGGGTACTCAACATATCAAGCTTAGTCCAATATAAACAAATCGAAGAGAGAGGAATTGGCCGATTTTTCCTTATGTAATTTGCTATCTCATATACACATGGCAAACCATGAGTACGTCGAACAACACATCCACTTGCCGTAATATCGATACCAACATAAGATGCTCGTTTAGACTCAGCCAATATGATCTCTAATGTAGTAATTGAGACATTACCATGAAGCTCCTTAAACTGCGCAGGTTTGAAATCATGTTGCACAACTAACTTGCTTTTCTCAAATGATGATTTTATTTCACTATGTTGCAACTCAAGTAAATTGTGTATCCTTGTCCAATTCGACTCAAAGTTTCCTTGACTTGATCCAAGATATCTTTTAAGTTTTGCATGTGAACTCTCAACCTTATATATAAAAATAAACTATTATAAAAATGTTATAAAAAACCAAACAACTAGTAAATTTAAATGTTCGTATTTACCTATTTGTTGTAGAATTTCCAAAGTACATAAATGTGTCAGTCCAAGCAGCCACAAATTTCAACTTGTATGTATCCAACCAAGATGAGGTAACATAATGAAGTGCATCTTGATAAGTACTGAACTCACTATATAACAAAGACAGTCGTTGCATGTATACTTCTTCAGACGATGACATAACCAACATATTCCAACTTATTATAAACATTTCCCATTTATCCTTTGTCTCAAACATCTTTTTGCAATTAGCAAGCACATTTTTTCCAATATGCCATCTACACAACAAATTTGTAATTGCAGGAAACACCGTACATATGGCATTCATAAGGGCCAATTCTCTATCTGTGACAATAACAGAAGGAAGAGTATTTTCATCCATGACACTACGCAAAAGACCAAGTGCCCATGTATAGTTATCCTCCTTCTCATACTGGAGGTATGCAAATGCAACTAAAAAGGTCATGTCTGTCGATGTCAAATATACAATCTCCAGAAGGGGCAACCGATATCGATTGATCTTATAAGTACAATCTATCAACAATACTTTTGGAAATGCACGTAACAAATTCAAACTAGTAGGATGTGCAAAGAACAAATCAGTCACTGTCTCAGTATCTGCACAGCTCCTATGCCACTCAATGTACTTGTTTATCGCTAACTGACCTAATAGTTGTTGCATTTGAGATCTCCCAACTTTCTCAGCAACTTTATACGTATGACGTGCATTGTAAATTGTCTTCATTGTGGAAGCATTTGTATCATCACGTTGTTTCAATGTAACCAATATCTTACTCGGTCATACCATACTCTTCGACATGTCTACTAACAAAAAGGTTTCCTCATGTGACAACCTTCCAGCATAAGAATGACCCTCAAGATATTTTGCAGCAGGATGATTATGCACACCACAAACAACTGTTGGATATGGTTAATTTTTTCCTAAGTTAGGTCTATTTTTTAGGTGGGCCCCGAGTGTCGATTAACTCGGGTTAAAGTGGTAACGCGTTCTATGCCGCGTTGTGATTCACGTGGTATATTTGGTTGCTCAAAACCATTACCGAGTGAATGGGAAATTGAAGCCAAAGTGTGCTCTAAAGCCTCAGCTAGACTGAGCATTATAAAGCCTCAGCCAGAACGAGCATTAAAAAGTTTCGTCCAGACTGAGCATCAAAAAGCATAAGCCAGACTGAGCATCATAAAGCCTCAGTCAGACTGAGCATCATAAAGCCTCAGCCAGAACGAGCATTAAAAAGTTTCGTCCAGACTGAGCATCAAAAAGCATCAGCCAGACTGAGCATCATAAAGCCTCAGCTAGACTGAGCATCATAAAGCCTCAGCCAGATTGAGCATCAAAAAGCCTCTGCCAGACTAAGAGCCACCTTCACATCTATAAATAGGACCACCCTCATTTGATATTTTGCATTCAGAAATTTCGTATTTCACCTCTGTTAATTCTATTCTTCATCTTGCTGCATTTTATTTTCAAAATAAAGAGTGTAAACACTTAGTGTGTTCGTAAGGCAAACAATTAGTAGTGCTGCTATTGTTTGTGGAAGATCATTTCATCCTGGGAGATAGACGTCCGAATTCTGAAAGCACCGTGGAGAGGACGAATCTGTCTTAAGGAGACAGTGTTAAACACTGGACTTGATCACAAAAATAATTCGAAGAAATTAAATCAAGTAAGTTATTTAATTACTTTCAGTGTTATTTTTATTTGTTTATTTATTCAGATTTTAATTTTGTTTTTGTAACAAAATAAAATCTGTTTTGTTTTTATTTATTTATTTTTTATTTCGAGTTTGATTTTTGTAATCAAACATTTTCTCTCCTTTTCTTTATTTCTTTATATTCTGGTTGTTGTTTTGTACACAACAGAATTAAATCTTTTTTTTAAATACAGTGAAGATTGTCCAACAACAACTATCAAGATCCAGTCATCATTTGTGGCTAATTTTTTGCCTTTTAATAAAAAAGGACATTCACATTTTTTTGTACCAGTCAATCTTGCTTTTTTTGTCTTAGGCCTGCTATTTTTTCGAGTGTCCCTATAAGATCCACTCCTCTCACAAGCTAAGCCGAGTCTTGGCTTCCTACCTCAAATACTACCCCCATCTGATTTCTGCACGACAATAACGAATCGATTTTTTCTTCCAACTTGACGTACCCATCGAATTAACTCATCTCGACTCTTGAAAATCTGAAATAAATAAATTAAACTAACCTATTATTGCATATAAAAAAGGTACATTACTTGTAAAACAATCAAAGACTCACCTCATGAGTAACAAATTCATTACTATAATCCATTACAAGTTCTGAATCAACCTTACTGCCTCTAGTCGAAGCATCACCCTGAAAACACGTG